AATTCTCGTATGATGCAATGCAAGTATTGTTGGTTGGTTGGCATTTGATTTTGGAGAAGGAGAATCTGAATCCCTTCCCAATTTCATGGTAGAGTTGTGCTCTTTAGGGGGGAAAAAAAGGAAAAATCTCGATAATTCCAACTGTTAAATTATACCCAAAATATAAAGCTAGTTTGAGGTCTTAAATTGAATGTTCAAGCTCTATTTTAACACAGCACCAAAAAATCAAGTATAGTAATGGGATTTTTTTCGTACTTATGTTTATATTATCCTCCCTGTATATAATTTCAGAATGCGCTGAGCCTACGTGGCTGCTTCTGGTGCTTCGGAATCCTATTTGGCGAAGAATCATGCTTCGTAATTAGGTTTGGAGAAATAATATTAATTTATTAATAACTAATAATCTAGGTTCGGGTATTCCATAAATATTATTTAGCTAACTTAGGTATGTTAATATCACTTTTACTAATATAACCCTTTAATTCTTTGTAATTTTACATAGTGAGGCACTAAGTGACTAATATATCCTTGAATTTTGATTTGTTTCATTCGATAAGCAATTGAATTATAAATATATTTTAAAAGTTGATAATTTCTTTATTTCTTATCGATTTTACATATATAATATATTAAATTAATCATCTTTTGATGATCTTCGATTTGATATCCATATTGTATATATGAAATAAATAAATTATATTTATCTTTATAATAATAAAAAATAATAATATTTATTAAAATTCATTAAAAAATAAAATTATTACTCAATTGATATATTTATATGTAATGTAGTTATATATTGTAAGTTAAAAAAATTAGTATAATATAACACAAGTAAGTTGCACAAATAAAAAGTGTCATAATAAATATATAATAATATATATATTCTTATAAAAAGTATTTAAATTTTCAAACTATTTTTTTTCATTAATTTTAGATTTTAAGAAAAAAAATTAGCAAGCACCCGTGTAATACACGGGTGTTGTACTAGTTTAAGATATGTTTGTAAACTAATCTCAGCATTTGATTCATTTGCAATTTAATTTAATCCTCAACTTTTCAATTTTGACAATTAAAAGTTTGGGCGTAAAAGATAAGTAAACTATCAAATTGGGCTTAAATTTGACAATTAAAAGTTTGGGCCTAAAAGATAAGTAAACTATTAAATTGGGCTTAATTTTTTTTTTTTTTTTTTAATGTTATAAAACTATCAAATTAAGTCCTATAATTAACAAAACCAATAACACATTTAAACTGAGAGTTAATTTGAAGTTTTAAAATACCAAATATGTTATAAATGTAAAAAAAAAAAGAAAAGAAAAAAAAAGAAAAAAATGAAGAAAATTAAGGAAAATACGAGATTGTTGGAGAAAATTAAAGAAAATATGAAGCTCTTGCTCGGTTTCTTGTTATCCTCTGTTTCTTTTTTTTTTTTTTTAAATATTATGCAAATGTCTACTTATTATTTTATTTTATGTGAGTAAGCTCTAATTTTGTCTTTTTTTTTTTAAACTCTCAAATTTAATGGTGTTATGGGTTTTGTTAATTAGGACTTAATTTGATAGTTTTATAACATTTAACTCAAGAAAAAACTCATTTTATTTATTATTACTTCCTTCACAAAACATGAAACAATTTTCCTGGTGCCACAAAATATAGAAAAATGGCTCTCCACAACCTGAACATGGCGATGTTCCTAATCGTCGCAGTAATCCTAGCCACCGCTGAAGAGAACTCCCAATCCCCGCCGGCGGCTGCGTTTTACGACGTCCTCGCCTCCAACGGTCTCCCAATTGGCCTCTTCCCAAACGGAATCTCCAATTTCTCCGTCGACCCCGCCTCCGGCCGTTTCCAGCTACATCTGCAGCGCCCTTCGCCGTGCGCCGCCAATTTCGAGACGCGCTTGAGGTACGAAATCGACATCTCAGGAAGCGTGCGCCACGGGAGAATTGATGATCTTTCGGGGGTTTCGGCGGAGGAGCTTTTCTTATGGCTGCCCGTGAAGGGCGTCGAGGTGGATGTGCCGAGCTCTGGGTTGATTTATTTCGACGAAGGGGTCGTCTCTAAGCAGTTGTCCCTGTCGCTATTTGAGACGCCTAAGGATTGTAACGCCATGGATGGTGGGGCAGGAAATGATGACGTCGTTCGGTTGCAGAATTTTGAGGTTCGTAATCCAGTACTGGTTTGAAGTCTTCATGTCAACTTTGTGTGGTTGATTAGTTGAATAATTATTTAATTTCGATGGTTTGCATGATTCTCGTTTCGGTTTGTGCCTCAATTGGTGGGTAGATGATACATCTGCACGAGGAATTATGTGGATGCATCTGAGTTTTGTTATGGTTCTTCATGTAGCTGTTCTCTCATTCTGATAAACAGGCATGGTTAACCTTTAAACGAAAATTGATTCTCACAATTAAATTTCGTCTGACTTGGTAGTTTTGGACAGAGGAGACTTTGTCTTCCAATTTTCATACATTTTTATGGTTAGAATGTTGAACGATAATTGGCATTAATTATGTAGCCTAGTTTCCATGTTTGTGTGTTTGTGTGCATATGTGTTGATGATATTTTACTTACATAACTATGGCTTGTAGAGAAGACTTCTGTAAGTTCCCCTCTCGAGGAATAGTCTAGTTTTATAGATATTTTGGCTAATGCTAAGAATACAATTATAGGTATAAATAACAAAAGGTTGAAATCATAATGGGAAATTATGTTCATATAGTCTCTATGATAACATTGCTCACACGAAATTCCGAATTATTTCTTGTTTGCTTTTTGTGAATCATCATGCATAGTTTGATGATGGTTGTCCTTAACTGCAATGTTCTATCACTATCTTGTTACATTACAAGAGTGCTGCACCTAGAATTGAACTGAAAAGATCGTATTGTCGCAGAACCAATAACCTATAGTGATTACCTGATGTATGGACTGATAGACATAATAGGATTTGCTGTAGATCATTGGCATTTGGTAGCTAGATCCATAAAAGGAAGAAGACAACAATTCCCTTGGCAAGGAAACCCGAGATAGTAACTTTAGTGATCATCTTATACTACTGAATTCATTTGGATAGGAGATATGGTCATCACTAAGGCTATATTTGGTAACAACCGATAAGCTAATTCATAGCTTATAAGTAATTTTCGAGCTTTTAGCTTATAGCTGAAAAACTAACTTAAATGGTAAAAGTGTTTGTAAAAGCTAGTTGAAATAAAATTTCAACGAGCTTATTTGAAAAGCTACTATGCAAAAGCTTATTAGATAAGCTCGAGCTTTTAAAAAAGCTCGTCCTATCAAACTTATTTGAATACAAGAAGCTTATAAGCTAATGAAATAAGCTATAAACTAGCTTCTTATTTGGTAAGCAAACATAGTCTAAGACTCGAACCACATTTTATTTTATTTTATTTTTTCTTTCTGTGTGTGTTGTGTCTCCTCTCTCTGCAAGAATCTGTTACTCTCCGTTCAAGGTCCTAATTTTTCCATGTAATTAATGTATTGCAGAATCATTTGAGAGAGTTCCCAAAGCATGTACCTGACCAAGAACATATGGCAGTCTAATGAATCAGCACCATACGATTTTATCCTATGGCGTGAGGATTTCTGAGGATCTATAGTATATACACACAACTATATACACTGATTGCCTATGTTTTACTACAAGACTCTTCATCCAAGTAATGAGGCAAATATGGTGTTTCCTTGAAGGAGAATACTACAAAAGTTAGCCCTGTTTCTTTGCATAATTATGTAGACGAATGTAGAATGGGAGTTTGTGTTGGCTATAGTTGTATATGTATTTGTTACAATGTAATTGTGTTTTTGTATCCTTTTGGTTGTGTAATGGGGTACATGAAATTTTACTGTACGCAAGATGATTGGTTGTATCCTTTTTGGGTGTAATTTTCATGATTATCGAATCGAACTTTGTTGTCATTGGCAGTGAGTGTTAACATTTCATTTGCTTCTCATTTGTGTCAACTGACACATCTCAAGTAAAACTAGTTGTGCATCAAATTTCAATAGTAGAAGAAGAATTTGTGCAAAAAGCGAAAAGAAATCAGTATTCGACACTGGTAGAACTATACTTAAAGAATTTGTGCAACAATGATTTTTTTATTTTTATTTATTAAGATATGAAAATAGATAAAGCTGTTAATTACATACGCAATTGATTCATATTCATTTACCAACCAGTATGAAGAGCATCGGCTGGCCCAGTAAATGTATTAGAGCCTAACTGGGTTATGGATATGGATCAGATATGTATGAAGGATTGAGTATTAGGTGGCCCAGTAAATGTATTAGGGCCCAATTGGTTATGCATAAGAACAGGCAAGAGAGGATGTGGAAAAGAAAAGAAGAAACACAGACGAATAGAAAAGATTGTTGATATTGTTGATCGATCTTCTCATTTTCTTCAATTCAATCTGTCCAGCCCTTGCAGGAATACGATGGCAATGTCGATAAAAGCGCCAGTAACAGGGTTAAGCGTGGGTTCCCACACAGCTGGGCCATCGGGCAATAGAGGGGTCATTATTGTCAGAGCACATCCGTTGAGATCATCGTTGTTTGGTCGTGGAGGTAATTGGTTTTAATGATTTGGTATTGTTGCGTTATCTTCTACTTGTCCCGCCGGTTAATGATGCTGTTGATGCACAGCCTCGTATTTGGGTCCCAAGCAAAATTGAGCTCTTTTGTCGATTTCTTTTTAAATGTTTTGGTGATTGGAGAATTGATCATTTGCAATTTCTGCCTCTAGATTTTTCTCTTTGGAGATCGCGGTATAGCTTATAGCTTCCTATCCAGGCTCTGCTTACCTCCTTACCAAGTCTTTGTCGAGCTAGTAAAGCCCCTTTCCGCATATAGTGTTTTAACTTGGTCATTTGATTTTTTTTTTTTTTCGGGGGACTATCCAGATAGCTGGAAAGGTTTGAGAACTTCCGCCAGAGTACTCTGAGTAGTTTAATGTTTGTTTATGTAGCCAGCAGTTAGAATATGGTAAGGATGGAAATTATGCTAACACCTAGAGGACTTTGAGCGTGTTCGCTGCTCCGTAGTGAATTTGCCTGGATATATTTCTTGATTCTTCATAAATGACCCAATATAACTTAATTGTGGGATCATTTGGTTATTTTTTGTGACCAGTGTATCTTGTTCTTTTTCCTGGGCAGTTGGTTCAGAGAACTCTTTGTTTGGATGATGAAACCTTCTTTGCTCTCTGTTTCCTCTTTTTGTCTATGAAGGACATTTGTTATGGATACAGTTCTGAATAAACACGTTCCTTTTCTTTCCTTTTCATAAATAACTTCTCCATGATTACACTGGAGTTCCATTAAAGGTGTAAATGCAAGTCTTTATGATGAAGAGTTGAAATATGAAATATATGTAATATGCCTCCTTTTTTGTTGTTTTCATGGTTTATGTTGTTATATAATTTCTTTTACATTTTCTTTCTCCAGTTGGTTCAGCTCCAAAATTTGCTGGACTTCAACTTTCTAGTTCTACTAGATCCCGACGGAACGGTCGTGGAAGGGGTGGTGCTCTTGGTGCTCAAATGAGTCTATTTGATCGGTTTGCGAGAGTTGTTAAGGTCATTTGGCATTCTTGTGATCACCATTGGCTCTATTGATAAGCCATGAAATTATATTGACTGTGATTTATCTCGATTAAGTGTAGTCATATGCAAATTCAGTATTAAGCATCTTTGAAGACCCAGAAAAAATATTGGAACAGTCTGTAATTGAAATGAACTCCGATTTGATCAAGATGCGTCAAGCTACTGCACAGGTGTGTCTTTCCTGGATTTATTTTCTTCTACATTTCTCTTTCTTTTACCTAATTTTAATAAGTATGAAGAGCTAATGACCTATTAAACCATGACATTCGACATAGGATGTGTGAAGCAGAGAGCCAGGGATGCTGATGTGATTTCCCTGTGCTTAAAGTTTTTCATGGATAACCAGATTGGGGAAATCAAGTTTTTTCTCAATGTGTGTTTTGTAGGTTTTGGCTTCCCGGAAGCAACTGGAGAACAAATATAAGGCTGCTCAGCAAGCTTCTGAAGATTGGTAAGTGCCACGAAACCTATCATTTAGTGGTCTCATTTTCATGCTGTTAGCTGTAGTAACCTAGTTCAAGTGCAGGTATGGAAGAGCTCAACTTGCTCTAGGGAAGGGTGCTGAAGACCTTGCTCGTGAAGCTCTTAAGCGTAGAAAATCTTTTGCTGTAAGTACTTGTAGTTTTTCTAAAAAATGAAATTATGGGATACTTCTTCTCGAGCTTCGTTACTGATGGAAATTAGGAGACAACTTGTAAAAGATGGTTGTAATGTGTTGTGTTGCATTTCCATGAATTTGCATCGAACAGGATATACTATCTTATTACTAGAGTGACGAAGTTAATTCCACACTAGATGGATTTTCTTTAAAGCATTTACTGCATTTTCTGTTTCTGAAGCTTGTAATCCAGTGAGGTTTAGTCAAGCTATATGGAGAAAATAACCCATTAAATTAAGCTGTCATGATTGATTATCTGATATGTTTTATCATGTTTCACATGATGTATACCATTGTTTAACCTATGGAGGCTAGGAGAAGGAAGGGAGGGAGGAGGGAGAAAACCTGAATGTTCTGCTTGGCCATTATATTGCCAGAAGAACTGTTTGATTAATAAGTTGACATGTCTTCAGGATCCAATGTTCTAAGTTGATACCTTAATATTTTCACTCTTTATAGTGGTCGAGAGATTTTGATCAGATGATGGAATCATGGACTTCTGTTAATACATATAAATGATGGCTGTTAGATATTGATGAATATGTGCAGGCACGTTTATATCTGACGGTAGACTTTTCTTTTTTTGAACTTCTGCTCATTTAAATATAGTTTCTTCAGACTACCTCTAGTAACTTCTTTTTTTTCTCTTGCTACATGTTAAAATTTTTATAGGATAATGCAAATGCTTTGAAGACTCAGCTTGATCAGCAGAAAGCTATAGTTGACAACCTTATCTCGAATACAAGGGTGAGCATGTGTATATTTATGCTGCTATATTTAGTATTTATGTAATTGGGATAGGATTGTAATGCACTTGCTAAGTAGGGCAGTAGACACATCACTGCCACTTCAACTTGGGTCTTACTAAATGAGAAAACCTTCCCCTAGGAGTCATCCACTTGCGGCTGAATGTATGTTGTTATAGTTTTTTAGCCCTGCATATTTTCAGATACCATCCTGTGACGCCCCGTTCGTTTGCGAATAATTTGGATTATTGTTATTATTATTGTTATTAATATTATTGCTATTATTATTGTTTTTGCTATTTATTAAAATTGTCTAAGTGCTTAAATGAAATTATGTGCCTATTTGTATATATTAAATAAATATTAATTGTGGTAATTTATTTTAAATATTAAATACTATTTTAAATATTTTATGTATCATTATTTTATACTATTTCGTCAAACCGAGCATTTGTTCGAACCCCCTCCGAACCGTCCGAAGCCGACTCAAACCGCCGCCCCCCCCATTCTTGTGCATGCATGCAACATTTAAAACTTAAATTTGAATTGAGGTTTAAATGTTGTAACCTCCAAGCATGATTATACCCATTATCACACATTAAAGTGGGTTATGGGGGAGAAGTTACATGTTTGAAATTTAAAGAGAGATCCCCACTCTCATCCATCTCATTCCTCTTTATCTCTCCCTCACTCTCTCTCTCCCTCCCTCGGCCTTCCCGTCCGTCGCGCGCGAGTCACCAACCACAGCCACCATCCTCCACCACGACGGACAAGCAACAGCCCAGCA